CGGTGCAACCATCACAAAACAAGAGACCCGAGAACTAGAAAGGCGAGGCTTCACCACCCATTTATCCCTCCGCCTTTCAACCAGCCCCACGTGTGATTATCGGCCAGGCTGGCACAATTAACTAACTCACACATATACACACACATCATTAATATTTGGCTAACATTTGATTTAACTACATGAAATTGCTGATACTTAACTATGTCTGATCATACCAAAAAAGATAATGTCAAACCACACAGTATATGGGATTCATGATTTTTTTTCCTTCTTAAAAACTGTCCCCTCTGCGTCACTCCGCCCTTCACCCTTCCTGGTCAACCTTCGTTTCGGTGGCAGGCAGATGGGGCCTGCTGCTCCCAGGTCAGAGGACACACGGCACTCGGGCCTCTAGAGATCGAGAAGGCAGACAGCAGTCGGCAAGCCTCTGCCCCCTCTCCCCGGGAACTCGGGGATCTGGAGGTCAGGAGCCAGAGCAACCTGCCCAAGTCCTTGGACCACCAACCCCTCTCAATGCCGCCTACTCAAAGCCCCAGTCTCCTGGCTGGTCATTTCCACAGGGAGCCTTCCCTGGCCTGCTTGGGTCATTAGCTGGTCAGCACTCATCTCCCCACCTCACTGTTCACCAGGTCACCCTCCTGCCAGCCTGCCTGGGGCACAGCAGAGGCTCACCATGCTTTGCTGACTACGTGGACCACAGGATCAGGGAACCGCCACTTCTGACTGGGTTCTCTTTGCCCCAGAGGCTTAGTTCTCTGAGCTCCATGATGCCCATTTTAGTGAACAACCTGTGATGTCCCCTCTCCCTTCAAGTCCCTGGAAGGAACTGTTACCAGGTGCTGGCTTTAGAGTCCACAGCCCCTAGGAAGGCCACACTCAGCTACTCGGGCTGCCTCAGTTCAGATCTGAGTGCTCCCCTGGCCCTGGGGAGGGGTGGTGGCCAGCGTGCTTAGAGACACTTAGTCTGAGGTTCTACGCTTGCAGACTGCTGACACCCTGATTTCCTGGGACGCCCCCTCCTTTCACCCAGGCCACCAGTTGGATTAAGCTGGCTATGAACAGTGAGGCGCAGGCAGAGGGGCCTGGGGAGGAGAGCAGAGCAGAGCAGAGGACAGGAAAGCACTGCTTTGCGCTCAGCCTGGGTCCTCCCCAGGACTCCTCCACTGCTCCCTTCTTCCCAGAGAGCAACGTGAGGCCATCAGGCTGGGCAAAGACCAACGGCCAAGGCTGCTGCTGTCTTGGCCACGTTCATCTCCCTGCTGGGCTCCAGGACTCCTGGGTTTCTGAGGCTGGAGGAGAGCAAATTCGAAGCTGCCTGGTCACCCAGAGAGACAGGCCTGAAAGGTCCCCACCACTGGCTTGGCCTACTGTCCCTGTGGAGCTGAGGGCAGGGCTGGGGAGGCAAATGGCCACTCAGGCACCACCTCAGAGCAGAGATGGAGCCTGGCTCTCTAAACGCCGGAACTCCCAGAGCTGGGAGGAGCACATGGGGTTTGGGGGTCATGGGGTTAGAGAGGCCACGGGATTTGGGGGGCCATGGGGTTAAGGAGGGATGCCCCAGGGAAAGGGCTCCCGCAGGGTCTCCTCTAACCAGACCACCTACCCTCGTGCCCCCAGCACCCTGAGCTCCC